GCCCATCTAAGTCCTTGCTTTATCCAGTAGGGTTGAACTAGTTAAGTGGAAATTGCTCGCTATTCTATCTATAGCTTTTATTTGCCACTGAGCAGTGAGAACCACACGGGGAAGGGCATTAGTTTGCTTGATTATGGTGGAGACCAATGTACCTAAAACTTTAGTCCCCACCGTTCCATCAAGGTATGCTAGAAAAACGCAAAACTCAAAGAAACAAGAGGTTAAATCGCTTTTACGGGGCCTCCTTGGAATCAAGTTCGCTGAACGTGGATTGGGTTTGTCCCGTTAGATTGCATAAGAATGCAAATTCACACTGAAAATAACCGCGTTTGCACTGACTGTGCGGATAAACCGAATAGGTGCTTTCGGCATCAAAACAACATTCAGGAAGACCAGAGGCCGTAAAGCGGTGGTCTGCAGAGATGCCAGAAAACAAGCACGAATAGCTGCGGTCCAGTTTGTCACTTCTAACCACCAACGTGTCTACTCGGTCGAAGTTCGGTGAATGAATTCAACCCAGGTTTTCGACACGTGACGATTAATTGTCGTGTGTAAACCCCTGAGAATGCCTTCTAATCTATTCAGAGAAATGGGTGCATGTTGCTTGCGATCCCTGAGAGTCTGAGGAGAAACGTCAGATTTGGGAATCGTGGTGATGCTGCGTCGAAATTCGGAATTGATAATTCATCGAGTTTGTGCTTGACGAGAGGACAAAATGATAACATGCGAGATCAGTGGACTCCATCGCACGGTAGCATCACACCCCCGATTTCGATGCTGTCAAAACAACGGTGGTAACAACGTCCATCCGCAGTTTGGAGACCAACGAATCCGCCTTGCGCTGATGCTTGAAAGCTCAGTAGATACGTGATAACTAAGAACTTTCAAAAGAGACTTAAAGGAGGTAACTTATTGCAATTCGCATCATTCTGCTCAAATTGACTTTCCATTCAACTCACCGTCAGGATAAATATACTTGCCCCAGTCGCCCTCGTAAGTGCAGTTAGATTCTGGTCCATTTATTTTTTCAATGTAGAAAATATAGTCAGCCTTGGGGCCAGCAGGTAAGTTTTCTTGATCCAACAGGATGAGCTCATATTCGCCCAAGACCACACCCTCCACCTCCTTAGGAGA